TGTTTTAAAAACCAGGAAAATAAAAACGTTTATCATGTAATATATATTTTGTTATCAAACCAAGACAGGTTCATGATAATTTACTCGTTTGTTTGTTTTGTTGTTGTTTTTCTACAAAGGGAACACGTACAAATAAAATGCATCTAAACAATTATAATTTACTAAAAATTTCATTACCTGACAATAAATTAATACTTATATGGACGTCAACCCATACATTTCTGAAACAGGAAGTGATAACCCTTTGTCACATGTATCTAGAGATGTACAGTCTGATTAGTTCCTATACAGTTGGAAGTAAAATATTAGTATTTTGATATTAAAATAATGGACTGCTAGGCAAATAAGTAACACAAAACCAATATGATAATGGTTTAAGCATGTTCAAGGCTAGTATAAGACAAAAAGCTTAATGTGTGACTATTCATGATTGTCAATTTAGTGTCATAGAAGTAGCTGATTTCGGTAGATGACTTTATCAATGCATTTTTAATGAATAAGATGTGTTTTCATAGTTACAATCTTTTTTAGAGGGATATTTTGGCTGATTAGCACAAAACGACGAAATTGAAAATGGTGCAGGCTCGCTTAAGACGCTTGCAATCCTACTGGTGTAACTCTCCAGGAACGATGGTTAGGAAACTTCACGCCTATATGACTGAAATACTGTTGGGAAAAGGCGTAAAATGAAACAAACAAACAAACGCTTGCCATCCAGTCAATCACATGAACTTAATTTATTTGTATACATGTACTTCTTTTTAAAGACTTTAATAAGCTTAATATACTTTATTTTGATAGCTTATTATAAAACCTTTTTATCTTCGCACGATTGTCAGAACCGAGGCTTAAGCTTCTTGCTTTCTCCTCTATTCTGATAGATAACATGTTATGTTAAGTACGCTTATTAATTTCTGTATTCGTTGTAGTTCTGTTTTAATTTTGAATCTGTCTGTAAATATTTATATGTACTTGTATGATACATTATGAAATATATTGTTTAAACATATTTTAAAAACTGTTTTGTTTTGTTTGAATGTTTTAACGCTGATCTCGTCGGCTTATCCACCTTACCGACTTTCCTTGAGTATCAATTTTTCCGACTACTAAACACACATGACTTCTGAATCATCAGTAATAAGAGGCATCTGACTATTAGGCCCAGTATCCGAGATCAATTGTCGCCACGCCATAGGATCGGACCAGCGACCCCTGGAACACAAATCTGATAGCGAAGCGGGCTATGAACATAGCTGTTGACACAGCGATAGTAAATGATGAATCTGTTATTAAATTATTTTAAATAACTGTAGCTTCATTTCATTTAACGTTCATTACCAAAATTTAATATATTCCGTAAATAATTTATGAATACGATTCTGTCTCGTCTATTTCATATTAATTCCTATCTTATCGTTAATTTTACCAGCTAAATATTTTTGAATTGATAAATAACATGTTCCTGATAGTTTTATATCTGGAACAAAAACTGTTTAAAACATTTGGAACATTTAATCTATGTATCCGTCTGCTAAAAAGCAACAACAAAAACAAAACAGAGAGGAAAAGGTAGGATAGTGATAATCCCAATTGTAGCTCAGAGTAAAGAGTGTGCAGGTGTCAAGGTTATAAATCGTTGTTCTGAATGCTGTTTAAAATATCAGGATTTTTATTGGTCAGTGTAAATTCTTCGAAGGTTTCCGACCAATCAAATTCCTAAAATATTTTTTTCTTAACAACTCTGGACTCTAGTGTGATCCTCTCATGCAACTATATGGCAGTCTTACCTTCATATGTATATCGATTTTATAATTCTATCAATTCTTCTGTAATATTTTACTGTATATTGATTTTTATTAATCTCGATGTGTGATTTTACAAGGACAAATCATCACCCAAAAAAAGAAAACAATAAAAAACAAAACAAACATCAAGGAGAATCCATATTTTCATCCTCCTGGCAACAACTGGTGTGCAGGAGAATGGTTACTTTAAGCTATGTGACATGATCTTTTATCGCAAGCTTTTCTTGTGATGGTGATACATTAGTATTTACTAAGAAACAGCTACCGTAAAGAGAATACGTTGCCATGGACATGTTCAAGCTTATTGGATTACATCTAAAACGTTGCTATATTGTGTAACCCACAAAACTTTAAGCGCTTATGACTTTTAAGCATTTGCATGTCGCTCAGTACCGAAACATCTGCTTTTCCCTTGAAAAATTATAATTGCTGAAATCGATATATTATTGAAATTTAAGAGTACTATACTACTACGATAATTACATTTCTGTTCATATTTGTTCGTTTAATGTAGATCAAAGATGAAATATTTGTTTTCTAAAGAAAAGCTACTAATGGAATATTTAACGTCAATAATTGACATTCCCATGGGAATAAACAAGACAAGTCATAAGGAATAAAAGAACAAACATTTTTTTCAAGTAAAGGATGTTGTAAAATAATTATCCATGCAGGAAACAAATAATGTATTCAGTAAGGAAATGAATAATATTGAACGTGAGAGTTAGCCTATATTTAAAATATTGTTGTTTAATTATTGTTGATTAATCCAAGTCTGCAAATTTCATTGTATTCACCAGTCTAAAATGTTATGTCCAATGTCACACAGAGCTAAATGTTTTTAACATTCTCAAGATGACAGACAATCGGAAAATCTCGGCTATTATCAATAATAACCTCGGACTTACTACAGATTGACAGTAGTTCCCCGACATGGTTTTAGATGTTAACAAAAAACAAACAAAAAACAAACAAAAAAGTGTGTAATCTTTGATAATTATAACAATTGTATATATTTGACATCCAAAGTAAAATAAAGATTATTTCGGTAAAATTCGAACATATGTCTGACAATCATGATAAGCAATTGAAAAATGCTCAATAATGCACAATTATATTCACATCGGAGTAAACACGGGGCAGAACCCCATATGGATCTCAAAATTTTTTGTTTTGTTTTTGTTTGTTTTGGGATTTACGTCACATCGACACAGTATATGTCATATCGCGACGTTCCAGCTTTACTGGTGGAGGAAGACCTCATGTGCCCTTCCGTGCCCGTGCATTATTTCAGGCACGAACGGGCACCTGAGTAGAACCACCGACGTTCCGTAAGCTAGCTGGATAGCTTCCTCACATGAAAGAATCCAAAAACCCTGTCGGGATTCGAACCCACAGCGGTGAGGGGCAAGTGATTTGAAGTCAACGACCTTAACCACTCGGCCACGGACGCCCCAATCTCAAAAATGAGCATCGGTAAAAAGTATATGTGAATTTCCGCTGCTCCAAATATGAAGCATAACACCAAATGTGACATTGAAATTAGGTCAATCGCAGGGTTAGTTTTCAACATTTTAAACAGTTATATAAAATTCAAACCTTTTTTTAAAGAAAAAAAAACAAAACGAAATGCGACTCTACCCTCCTGACTCTCCTCTATATTACCCATTTTGTATTGGGTTTCTATGCAGTCTTCATCGAGATATTCTTTCCGTCGTAGGTTCTGGTGTGTCCAAAACATGCAATGCTATGAACAATTGTCACTAAACGGACTCAAAATACAGATTTTACAAAATCACACCACGGAACGATACTTTACATTCAAACAAATATTCATTGAAAAACATATATTGAGCTTTGGCTACAAACGAAGGAATCGCTGCTCAAAATTGTATTTGAGCTCCATATGTGTTGAAGAGATCCATATGTGCATGACATCAAAAATTAGCAACATAATTACGGATCAATTTCATAAAGCACTCTTTACTGTATTCTTTGGTATATCATTCTGTAATAAAAACTATCATCCGAAATAGAAACATTTTCTCGAGGCGAGCTTGAATAACACAGTATCCATATAGATAGAGATAGTACGAAATGTATTGAAAATACGTAGATATGGTGGAAGGTCCATGCTTATTTTGATTTATTGACGTCATGTTTGCGTTTTCAAACTTCATCATTCTGTAAATGATTCTGCCAACGGTAGACTTAACAACAGTCTTTTTCAACCGACTGAAACAGCCTTTAAAGAACGTTTCTATCGGAAACTCTGAGGCGAAAACAAATTTAACCACTTAACATATAGTCCAAGTATATATCTTTTTGACGTGTTAGAATGGAAATTGATATTAATTCTTCGTGCATTATAGTATATTCTAACACGACACCCATTTTTCCCTATTGAACATAGAAGAATCGAAAGTGTGTGTTATTATGCAATAAAATCACTGTTACCGTTCTATATTTAGACATGTGACTAATCATTATAAACATGTGACGTAACCACTTTGTCATGACGCTGTAAGAAAGTTAGTGATAAACTATTTGAAGAAGCTCAAAGAAAACTTTGCATATTTATGTTCCACATCAAGAAACGTCTTTGCATAACATCATCATAGTTCACTTCACGCCCACACTCGTAATTATGGGTAAATGTATATTTTTCCTTAATTTTTGCCTAATCTGTAACTCTTTGAATGGTTTTAAAGAAAGTTAAGCAAATCTTAACGCACTGAAGGGACATGCATAACTCATAATGCACAAAGATTGCTTCATGAAAATGGTTATACACATAAAAAGATCACTAAACTTATTTTCCGCTTTATAATATTATTTCATTGGGAACTGTAATCTATAAGAGTACCTTCGTTATTCGTTTCTTTTCTTTTGTTTCTTTTCAGGAAAATGGGTCGTTTTCTTGACGCAAAAATAATAGTCATTAAATCACTATTTGTTTACTATGTTTAGTAAACATAACTTACGAGTTTTGTTTTGTTTAGCGTTGGTTATACCGAAATACGAAACCTCACTATGGTGCTCGAGGTCCTTATCCGAAGTTTGACCGAAAGGGCCGAAACGATGCGATTGGATGACAGAGTGTAACACATTAAGTGATTAATGCATATATATACAATAAGTAACATGAATTACTGGAAATTGAAGGCAAAATAAGCAGAAGAAAAGCAACTCATGTTTCTCTTGTATTATGACAAATTTATTATCGAATGACGTAATGATACAGTATACTTCATTAATTTTACATGATGAAACATGATACAATTTGCTATGTGAGCTGAATTAACTTCATATTAATTACTTTAGTATAACATAAAACGTTTTCATGTATTACACAAATAGCAAAAATTGTTTTGCACATCATCAGCCAAACTGCCCACTTATATACTTATTAAAACTATTCAAAAATAACATATTGAATTAATCGCGTGACTACCAATGTCATAATATTTCACCATATTACATAAATCGTAAACTTTTGTAACAGCATTAGATTAAGTATCCGCTTGAATAAATTTAATAACTTGGAAGATTTTATTGTTTTATGTCTTGATATTTTATCAATAACGTTAGTTTCTATGATCAATTATTGCCCAACCTCCAACCTACGTTCTCCCGGCAGTTTGCTAGTTCACATAAGGATACCGGCGTGTACCGTCTCATCACCTTTTTAAAAGCCTTTCCATTATCACTTTTCACAAGGGTTTCACACTGAAAAAAAAGTAAAATAAATAAATAAATAACGTAAACAAACAGTTATGAAACAGTTGAGATAGATATTGAAAGGTCCATTGTCTTAAGATTGTTAGAAGAATGATGTGCTTTGTTACGGCTTTCTTTTATTATTATGTCTTTCATTATAGAATCTTCTGAATAGAAAGGAATGTGCAAGTTTACCGGTTTCTTGAATATTTCTGGTAATGAGCTGCAAACGTGAAGAAGCGTCCTTTCAACTTTCACCTGAAAAGTTAATAAAAATGTTCATTTCATAAATTTTACAACGTTACTTTTATGTAAATGAAACACATACCTGGGTAAAGTAAATTATTAGACAATTCATTTGGTACCTTTATTACGAGTAAATATGATATTCCTTTAAGCAATATTAAATGTTTCCTCACAATTTTATTTTACCAATGCTGTTAAGTTAACACAAGCTGTCGGACTGCATGACACATTATCGACAACAAAACAGTTCTGTTACGAAAAAGTACATAACTGTGGTACCCTTATTTTGTACCGTCATCGTTTTACACTACAACGTAAATAATTGTTATAAAATTATATTATCAAGCTCTTCAAGGTTATGCACAATCTTAAAATGACACTTCAAAATACACAATTAAAGCAAGAAATTATTCTTTTGGCATGAAATATATGTCAATTAATATGTTTCATATACTGTACGTGTAGAAATATTCGCGAGCTTCTAATTTAAGTGTGGGCGACCGTGGCCGAGTGGTTGAAGTCATTGACTTCAAACCACTTGCCCCTCACCGCTGAGGGTTCTGATCCCGACCGGTTTTTGGACTTTGGATTCTTACATGTGGGGAAGCTATTCAGCTAGCTTACGGAACGTCGGTGGTTCTGAGGCCTTCCTCCACCAGTAATGCTGGAACGTCGTCATATGACCTATACTGTGTCGGTGTGACGTAAAACCCAATCAAACAAACAAACAAACAAAACTAATTTTAGTGAAGTTAATTTGACTTACATAATCACTTGATAGATTGTCGAAAACGGCTGTCAGAGATTGCATACACAAGCCACAATCTAATGGCCCATTTCTTGCTTCTAGATGAACATTGACATTGCCAGGAGACGTGCCTTAATAAAAAGATATTCGACAACTTTAAACATATTAAATGCACAGTTCTATATATATATTTTATGTCAACACTCTTGAATACAAAAGTAACACAAAACATAGAAAGTCATTATTCTCTCTGTCCAGCCCTATGCTTTTTGTGATATATTGAAATGTTTGCTTTTGAACTGATTATTTTTGAAAGGAGAGAACTACCATGAACTGTTCCAGCTCTAGGTTCAATTCCTTTATGCTTTAATGTGTATATTATCAACAAGTGTATGTATCATGAATATAAATATGTTAAAACCAGTATTATTTTAATTCTCTTACATCAGTCGTCAACACTTAATTATTTCCTTCACCTTAGCCCTCAGGATCAAACCAAGAACGTTTTACAACAAGGGGTTTTAGCTGGAAATATTTGAGTCAGATTTATTTTTATGTTTATAGGCAGTGACTTATTCAAACGGATGTAGAAAGTTACACTGTAACATGGCGGCGTCGATGTTATCTAGGAATTTTACTGCATATATACCGGGCATCATGTTTTCCAAGTTTATAAGCTGTTCGAATCACCTAGCCTGATATCTTCCAAAAATAATAGAGATTTCTAAGCCTCTGGCCGGACGGAATTCAATCTTACAACTGTGTTGAAAATTATTATTGCTATTGATGGTATTAATAAAAATAATGATATCGACAAGCATTGAGTTGAACAATTTTGGAATTGGGTTAAATATTTCACTCATGTATGCTGTAAAAAGCATTTGGAGTAAGTATGTTCATGTGTATTTAGGTTTAATGTAAGAAGCTTGTATAGTTTAATCATTCAACCAAAGTTTGCAAGCAGATCTATCATATATATGTATACTTGATCTTTACATACAGAGTAAAAGAGATAATTTTTATTTCTTAATTGGGAAGTATTCTCTCGGAACATACACATATTATAATAAAGTGTGAATTTGCTATAGAGATTGTAAATTAAAGGTACATAATAAAGGTATATTTTTCACTAAGTGTATTTTTACAAGGTTGGGGGAGAGCACTACCTGTACAGAGTTTGAGATCTTTGCATGCTTCATTTGGATCTGCCCCTGCTTCTACCTCTTTGACAATTGCTGGAGCAAGCAGCAAACACTAAATATGAATAAGAAATGTACTGTATTTCACATAATGTCTTGATACTTAAATAATGACAATAAAACATCAACAAAGGTAGCATAATAGTTTTTTGCTATATTGACGTACATGAGTAAAGTTTTATCTCGAATAGAAATAATACAGTTTTTGAAATCTGATTTACAAATAACAACCCTATGAAAATAACTATTAGCAGTACTGTAGCAGCTTGAAGTTCGCGGATATCATTTAAAGTTTCATGCCAAAAGAAATTATTGGGATGTAAGAGTCAAGCTTTGGTGTCACTTGCAGGAATCACATGTATGTTCTTACGGGTGTTATGCAAAGCAAACATTTTTCAAGAAAAGGCTTAAGTTAGAGCATGCTTACATATATTTTAGATGTTCCAGAGAGGTCATTACATATCTGATACATCGTTGAATTTATTTTATCTTTTGATGCATTCTGTCCAATCAACTCGTCCAGCTTACGAACTGCAAGCTCACAAATCTCGCATTTGATATCTCCAACGTTATTGCGTGTTTCTAACAAATAAATCATTTAAATATCAGAAATATGATTCTTAAAATGCTACGATATATCGTCACCTTAGTGCAATAACTGATTAACTCCTATTGAATTTAGAAAAACATATTACGTTACTGCACTAAGGTGACCGATATGTCCATCTCAACACAATGAACACAGAAACACAACAATTAGGAACCGGTCAGAACTATAATGAATATACAATTTAGCAAATATGAACTCCATCGTTTACATAAATTTTAAGGTTAACTATATGCTGATAAGATTTGCATTATAAAATCAAGTTATTTCACAAAATGATGTGCATTTTCGACGTCATTTCTTGACGTGTTGAATATGAGCGCGTGATTTTACGCGGTAAAAATCGGCGAACAATGATGATAACAACACTTGAAAGAGCACGCAATTTATAGAACATTTGTTTGTTTTAATTACAACAACAAAAAAATATTATACTCGTGGAAATGATCTGATGCCTCGCTACACAAATAATTATAACTGATGTTCACTCTATAAAATACACCTCATCTTACTACCAAGCAAACAAATAGTGCCTTTTTAACAGCACATTATACTGGACTTAGTTCTGTGTGTTTGGACTATATAAGTATGTCTATTATCAAAAGTCGATTTGTTTGCACAAAGCATTCTTATAAATGTCATAAATGTTCGTTTAAAAAAGTACCATGTGCTTTGACTTAAAAAGATTAATTGTAATGATGTCAAACACTACCTAAAGTTTCAAAAAGTGTCTAAATACTTTAATTAAACTCATTTTTATGATGTCAAACCCTACCTGATGCATCACAAAGTTTCAAAACTGTACATGCTGTCTCTGGATCAACCCCGCCCTCGATTTCTTTCACAATGGTAGGTGCAACCATTTGACACTGTAAAATAGTTCTTTTAAAATGAGACAATGTTAAAGAGAGTATATAAACTATTATCTCTTGATCAAATGGGTTTGTATAATCAGCGTTTTACATTTGTTAATGATAATTCAAAGTTTTTTTTAAATATTTAATACTGATTATGCCATGTTAGGGGGACTTTGACTGTATCTGTCGTGATCTCACCCTTTGGGTTCTTATTCATAACAGTAGAAATGATTATAATAAAACCAGAAATCATGCTTTATTTAGGACAATTCTTAATAAATGTAAATGTATGCAGGTTTAGCTTTCAGTGCATTTTCTTTTTTTCTGGTTTTGGCTGTTTTGGCTCTATTGCAAAATACCGTTTCATATCATGAATAAAGAGGTTAACGTGTAACATATACGTTATACAGTCTACAAATGTTGATATACATGTGTATAAAAAAACATTTCACAAAACAGGAAACTTACATATTTTGCTGCGGTTCCTGGTAACTGGCTACATAAATTATAGATAGTGGCATTGATTTTGTCTGCAGAGGCATTGTTTCCAACAATATTATCCAGTTCCCGTATTATCAACTCGCAAATATCACATTTGATGTCCCCTACATCATTAGAGATTCGTACCACTTTTGCTGTTATTAATAATTAAACAAATTAGCCATATAGAGTTATTACATATTATTACTTTCTAAATGTTAGGAACATGTTTCAAATGTAAAAGATTTTCCATTCCAAAATATGTTTGAAAGTGTCCCGTAATAAGTTTTTATTGAATTATCTAATGTTAAATATTAACTGATAATAATTTCTTACTTGGTTGTTACAATAAAAACATATCCCAGGAATATTGTACTAAAACATTTACCTGAGCTGGCACAAAGATTTAGAGCTGTACAGGCCGCCTGTGGATCTACTCCGGCTTCTATAGCCTTTATAATAGTTGGTGCAACCATTACACACTGAAATATTATGTTATTTGCAACATATTATAATGTTAATTTTGAGTAGATATTCTAACAGTTTCAATATTGATCTTGTTAAAGAAAGTATACGTAAATGATAATACTTCGTGCTTAGACAAGATATATTTTGGATTATTATACAAGTATTTTATATGCGAACAGGATTACCCGAATAAGTTGAATTTTATTTTTTAAAAAAGCCTGTATATTGCCGCGATATGAAAATGTGTTCGACAAGTTATATTTTGAATTTAATATTCAATTTACGAACGGAATTATCTAAATGAGCTCGCCTCACTATGCAAATGTTACTACTGATAAATGTTTACATATTTTGCAGCAGTTCCAGGCAGTTGACTGCACAAATTGTAGATGGTTGCATTAATCTTTTCTGCAGATGTATTCTGTCCAACAATAGTGTCGACCTCTTTAATGATCAACTCACAAATATCACATTTGATGTCCCTTACATCTTTGGAAATTTGTACCACTTTATCTGTTATTGATAATTAAACAAATTAGCCATATAAATTTTAACATAAATATTGTGTAAATGCTAAGAACATGATTAAATGCAAAAGAGTTACCATCTTAAAAAAATATGTTTAATTTATCCGTTATAAGAATACATTGAATCATTTAATGTTAAGATAAACTAAAAATATTCCTTGATTGATTTTTAAAACACATTCGAGAACTATTGCATAAAAAATTTACCTGAACTGGCACAAAGATTTAGAGCTGAACAGGCCGCCTGTGGATCTACTCCGGCTTTTATAGCATTAATAATAGTTGGTGCGACCTTTACACACTAAAAAATTATTTGCAATTTATAATAAATTAAAAAATAAACGCTCTTTTGAGTGTAACAGTGTCAATATTAATGACCAGTGGATCTACTCCGGCTTCTATAGCATTAATAATAGTTGGTGCGACCTTTACACACTAAAAAAATTATTTGCAATTTATAATAAATTAAAAAATAAACGCTCTTTTGAGTGTAACAGTGTCAATATTAATGACCAGTCGAAATGTTGTTGAAGAAAGTAAATGATAACACTTTAACAAACGACAGGTTATATTTTGAATATAATATTTAATTTACGAACAAGATTGACTTAATGAGTACCAATGAACTTAAATAGAACCTGTAGATCGCGACGCTATGAAAATGTCATTATTAGTAAATGTTTACATATTTTGCAGCAGTTCCAGGCAGTTGACTGCACAAATTGTAGATGGTGGCATTAATCTTGTCTGCAGATGCATTCTGTCCAACAATAGTGTCGAGCTCTTTAATGATCAACTCACAAATGTCACATTTGATGTCTCCTACGTCATTAGGACTAGTACTTTGACCGACTACGCAAATAAATACAAAATGATAAATTTACACGGGTAATTTCGTGAATTTAAAAATGTGTCTATATGTTCAATGTAGGCATCCGAACAAGTATTTCCGTTCTATATTATATTCTAGATATTTGAACAATAATGTACGTGTTTAAATTGCCAGTGCAGATAATGAAACCTGCCTTGTAAAGACATTATTGCTTGATTAATTCAAAGAACCGTTGAAATACATTTTGTTCATTGTGCCAGTTAAGGATATATATATATAAATTGTTGATAATATTTACCTGAACTGTCACAAAGTTTAAGAGCTGTACATGCTGACTGCGGATCTACCCCTGACTCTACTGCCTTGACAATTGTCGGCGCCACCTTTACACACTAAAATATGACCATTGTAACACAATCTTTAGTTATTAAGAGTTAATCTGTTTATGATTATGCTTATTTCTGTGAAGTACAAATGTAAATGTTTCGAAAATGCTTATGACAGACTGTTTTAGGTTAATAAAAAATATTTTAGTACAGGTGTCGAATCATTGGTTTAAACAATATATCTAGTCAGTAATGTGTTTATAAAATGACTTTTTGTACAAGAATAGCGTAAAACATACATATTTTGCAGCGGTTCCCGGTAGCTGACTACATAAGTTGTAGATAGTGGCATTGATTTTCTCTGCGGATGCATTCTGTCCAACAATAGTGTCAATTTCTTTTATGATCAATTCGCAAATGTCACATTTTATATCACCAACATTGTCATTTGCACTTTCCTCTTGGACTGGAGCTTTAGAATGTAGAATAAAATAACATCATGTATAATGACGTATTATGTATAAGTAGTGTTGTGTTTAATTGCAATAAAGCGCATGCAGTTTACATTGTTTGTTTCAAGCATCCCAAATTTCACTGACGTTAAACTTAGTATAGTTGTCATAAGTTATTTGATATAAATATTCATGTTAATTAAATGTTATAGTGGATAACATGAAACAAAATGAAAATAGTTAAACGAATCTATGAATACTATAACATATATGTTATATTCTTAAATGACCAATGTAAACCAACACTGTAAAGACCATATGGCGAGATTCCAGCTTAATTGGTGGAGGCCGATATCAGGTGCCCCTCAGAACATATTTAAGGCACGATTGGACACCTAATGAGAACCATCGACCATCCATTAGCAAACTTGGTTGCACTTCCAATATGAAGTCACAAAGTTAAGGTTTTTGTAAGTGGAAAACACTGTCTTTGTAATCAAGTCTGTAATAATACTGATATAGATGTATTTAAACTATAACATCCATTTTCGAATTGCCATGCTAGACAGATCAATATTAAATGGGAGATAAATGGTTATAGTGTGTGGTTATCCTTATAAAATGCTAACGGTAAAATGTACCATTAGAAGTTGTATCAATTAAACACGCTTTTCATCCCTTGAATTGAAATTATACATGTCGAATAAAAGTCAAACAACGTGATAGTTTGCATTAATGTGTGTATATTTCAATGAAAATATCTGAAAAATTTAATGTAAAAGCCTGCTTTTATTTCAAAAGCAGAAATTGAATTACTACTTCCCGACAAATATTTTATTTTATCATCTTATACAAACGCATTCTGTTCAATTGTGTTTATTGTTCACATTATTAAAGATATATTAAATATTAATTATAAGCAATACATACCGAGCTGTCACATAGTGTTTGAACTAATTAATTCTTTACAAGGCAGGTTTCATTATAATATGTAATTCAAAGAACCGTTGAAATACATTTTGTTCATTGTGCCAGTAAAGGATATATATATAATTGTTGATAATATTTACCTGAACTGTCACAAAGTTTAAGAGCTGTACATGCCGACTGCGGATCTACACCCGACTCTACTGCCTTGACAATTGTAGGCGCCACCTTTACACACTAAAATATGACCATTGTAACACAATCTTTAGTTATTAATATATTCATTGAGATTTAATCTATTTATTATTATGCTTTTTTCTGTGAAGTACATATGTTAATATTTCGAAAATGCTTATGACAGACTGTTTTAGGTAATAAAAAATATTTTTAGAACAGGTGCCGAATCATTGGTTTAAACAATATATCTTGTAAGTTATGTGTATATCAAAAGAAAAAAAATGCAATGAATAGCGTAAACATACATATTTTGCAGCGGTTCCTGGTAGCTGACTACATAAGTTGTAGATAGTGGCATTAATTTTTTCTGCGGATGCATTCTGTCCAACAATAGTGTCAATTTCTTTTATGATCAATTCGCAAATGTCACATTTTATATCTCCAACATTGTCATTTGCACTTTCCTTTTGGACTGGAGCTTTAGAATATAGAATAAAATAACATCATGTATAATGACGTATTATGTATAAGTAGTGTTGTGTTTAATTGCAACAAAGCGCATGCAGTTTACATTGCTTTTTTCAAGCATACCAAATTTCACTCACGTTAAACTAAGTATACTTGTAATAATTTATAAATATATATATAAATATTCGTGTTAATTAAATGTTATATTGAATAAAATGAACAAAATTAAAAATAGGTAAACGAATCTACGACTACTATAACATATATGTTATATTCTTAAATGACCAATGTAAACCAACACTGTAAAGACCGTATGGCGAGATTCCAGCTTAATTGGTGGAGGCCGATATCAGGTGCCCCTCAGAACATATTTAAGGCACGATTGGACACCTAATGAGAACCATCGACCATCCATTAGCAAACTTGGTTGCACTTCCAATATGAAGTCACAAAGTTAAGGTTTTTGTAAGTGGAAAACACTGTCTTTGTAATCAAGTCTGTAATAATACTGATATAGATGTATTTAAACTATAACATCCATTTTCGAATTGCCATGATAGACAGATCACTATTAAATGGGAGATAAATGGTTATAGTGTGTGGTCATCCTTATAAACATGCTAACTGTAAAATGTACCAAAAATTGTATCAATTAAAAACGCTTTTTATCCCTTGAATTTAAATTATACATGTCGAATAAAGGTCAAACAGTGATAGTTTGCATTAATGTGTTTATATTTTCAATGAAGATATCTGAAAATGTAAAAGCCTGTTTTAATTTCAAATGCAGAAATTGAATTACTTCTTCACTACGAATATTTTTTATCATCTAAGCGCATTCTGTTCAATTGTGTTTATTATTTATTAAGTATTAATTGTAAACAATAAATACCCGAGTTGTCACATAGTTTTAGAACTGTACATGCCGACTGTGGATCTACTCCTGATTCTACAGCCTTGACAATTGTTGGTGCAACCATAACACACTGAAATATGTTATTTACAACAATATCTTACTACACAAATAAAAATGTTCTTAAGTGTCTATATACTTATGACTATAAAACATTATTATTATGAATTATTACTCTTTCAAGAATCATATCTAAGGTGAAACGTGTATATGAAATAACTGTTTATTTAAAATATTAAATAGAAATGTCAAAAACTTCATAAACATACATATTTTGCAGCGGTTCCTGGTAGCTGACTACATAAGTTGTAGATAGTGGCATTAATTTTTTCTGCAGATGCATTCTGTCCAACAATAGTGTCAATTTCTTTTATGATCAATTCGCAAATGTCACATTTTATATCTCCAACATTGTCTTTTGCACTTTCCTCTTGGACCGGAGCTTTAAAATGTAGAATACTTGTACATTGTAAATGATGCCGAGTTCCATTGCATCAATGCTATATAGTGAAGGCTGCTGTGTGTGTTTCACAAAATAATTATATTTCATTGATTTTTTTTATATCCGAGAATTCAAAGAAATAAAGCAAACGGCGTTGAACAAATATTAAACTAAGAATATATTGAACAACCGATTCGGACTAAGCATATCATTTTTTTTAGTGATACTTCATCATTTTATAAAACAATCAATAAAATCACATCAAATACATTTATAGTGAAACGTAAGTTATGATACTAATATAATAATGAATAGATATAATAATGAAACCATACTACACATTCAAAAAATGTAATCATGTAGAATTAATGTAATATAGTGCTTTCATAGGCATTAAAAATAGATAGACATAAGAACTGATTAACTGAAAAAAGTAAATAACAAATTTATATTATATCATTGAATATTTTTATACAATAATAACACTATGTAAAGTTGGTCTGTGGTACCATCTAAAGTATTTTAAATAGTATTATAATATGACAGTATTTTAAATAGCATTATAATATTACACTATTACACGAATATTGATAATTTGAAATAAAAACAACACCCGAATACTGTAATAAATATGAATGCCATGAACTATACTAAAGTAATAATATTACAATAATAACTTAAAAGCGTTTCGAGTACTAGTAAAATACCAGGATACAATAAAATATATTGATAAAATGAATTCATAACTTAACGTATTCTATTAATATTATATATATTTATCCAATCGATGTAAAATGACACCATTATATTGACGATTTAGCGGACATTTATGTCCGTTACAGTAAGATTCAAATGCATTAGAAAATATTCTAGCGTAGCAGGGATTCCAACTGGCACCCAATCGCTAATAAGCGAAAGTATCAACGCTTTAAACCTATGAGCCAATCAATTGATTTTCTGAGGCAGTTGCCAAAGGTAGGTTACACCCAACAGTTACACAACCCCGTTTTGAATTTTATAATTTATGATGACGGAATGACTAAATTTCAAATCAGAAATCATTTCCTTTACACATCATTTCGGTTTTCAAGCACATTGATGATTCCAGGATCCAGGCTTAAAGTATGAGCGCCCATCTTTCTAAAAATTAAGTTCGTAACAAATAGATGCATGTGTATCAGAAAAGATTCCGTTTAAGCTAGGATTCAATCTCTCGACCGTATAATCAAAAGAAACAACGCTCTAGACCGCTTGGCCACTGAAATGATTTCCTACATTGTAACGCAGTTATCAGAGGTTTTGTTTATAGTTCGGTTTGCATTCAATCGTATCAATTAATTAACACTATAACGAATATATTTACAATCATAATGTTATAATTGATATTAGTGTAGTATTAATACCTTTACTGGCACACAGTTTCAATACTGCACATGCTACTTTAGGATCTGCACCTCCTTGGAGTTCTTTAACTATAACCGGGGCAACCATAACGCACTATAAACGAAAAACGAACAGGTATAAATGTTTAGTTATTTTATCGTTTCTTTATGAATGTGTTGATTCTTTTACAAGTTGAATGCGTTTGTATCTTCGAGCACATACGTGTGAATCGCTTACTTCACATGGAGTTACTCCAGGTAACAAACATATGAAAGTCCGATTCTCCTGACATAAGAATCATAAAAATTCATTTTAAAGCATTCTCATGTACATATTATATTAAGTCAATGTATTTCATAATTTTATATGGAATTTATTGTAAAGAGAACATTACAGAATCATGCTGATCGAACTTATGTACACTTTGCAACTGGACAGCAATCACAGTGCTGCATTTTATGGTTTTGAGACAACTAAAGTAATACTAAATATTGACAAAAATTGCTGTTACTGTTTTTCTTCATACATACAAATGATTTAGCGCTTCCAGGGAGATCACCACAAAGGTTAAAGATAGTTGCGTTGATTTGTGCCACACTTGCATTGCCTCTTAAAATTTCATCCAAGCCTTGAACAAGCAGCGTGCATATTTCACATTTCACATCTTCAACATTCTGTATAAACGTTTAAGTTAATATTAAATATGTTTGTTACGAGTGTTTTATTTCTCACTAAATCTAAAAGGTAAGACCGTACAGATACGCGGCATGTGCATTCAATTTAAGACGTTAATGGGCCTTACAAATTAAAAGGGGTTTTCAACTTATGATATAAAGAATTTACATTATAGTTATACATGTCTACATCTAATTCATTGGGTTTACTTTTTGTGTCATTCTAAATGTTTCAAGTCTTATTCTACACATTTTTGAGGTACATGGAAAGTGCAACTCACGTCAAAACTTTTCTCTGTGGTATCTGTAATTCCTGCTTCACTGGAGCACAGACCGAGAGATCCGCATGCTTCTGATGGGTCTACTCCATTCATGAGGGCATTAAGGATTTGAGGGGCAGCTTGTAGACACTGAAAATAAACATATCTAAACATGCACATGACAAACAAATATGATCTCTCAGACAATATATTCTGAACCGTTTTATAGTTATAGAACTGTTTTCTTTATAACTAGCTTCTGAATTAAACATATAAAAATCAATCAGTAAAACGATATTTATCGCACGGCAGCTTATCATAGGAATGGAAAATAAATCAAACGATTATATGCAGCGATAATACTATCATGCCAATTAAATTTCACAAATGGCTGAAAATTCATGTAAAAAATCTAGGGACATTCGTATCTACAGTATATTAAATTTAAAGATCCTGTAACACATTTTTTTCATGGTTTTATTTCATAAATATGACGCTCAAATTAAGATTTATCAATCTTGTAAGTTCTAATAAGCATTATCTATAAAGATATTACCCAATTTAACATTTTGCGTAAATAAAGGAAGGTAATTAGAAATTTATTTTCTATAAATTCCAAGTCAAATTTTCCAACAAGAAATGAATGCAGGTAACTTATTGATTAAATATAATGTGCACAAATATTTGCAGTACACATTTTACATATTCTTGGATGTTTGAAAATTGTTTTATTTGCATAATTATATACATATATAATATTTTGCAAGTGTACGATACATACAGTAACAATATCAATCACAAAACATACAGGATCTTTAAAGATACAATTTTAGACAGGAAAAAAGGTTTCTTGAGGTTTATTCGATAACCTACCAAATCTTGTAAAGCACCTGGAAGCTGGTTGCAAACATCATAAAGGGTTTCATTTATCTTTTCAATACTTGCGTTCTGTTTGACCAAACTGTCCAGTTCTTCAATGACTGCTTTACACACTTCACACTTCAAATCTTTCTGTAAAAGTAATGAAATGATAAACAATACACAGACAAGAAACTCGCCCATTTCCATTATTTGTCAGTTAAATCGAATATGTCTTAAAACACTTGTTATTGATAAACATAACAGTTTTTTATAATATCAAAATGTGTCAATTTACTTCTGTTTATATGTGAAAACGATGTTCTTTTATTAAGTGTTTCAAGTTCACACAAAACAGGAAAGAGGTGAAATTTGAAACATTACCAAGTGTTATGTTCTACAAATGGTGATGATGGCCATAAACAATTGTAATAAACACTTCAAAGCAATATCCCAAAATATTGGCGTTACAAAACATTTTGCGAAGTTTGATCTAGATTCAGATGCATACGTCTGGTCGGATGGAAGGGTAGCTCACAAGTCATATATAACTTAAATTCAAACCTCAAAACATGATTTTGTAATAAAAATAAACTAACGTGGAAGAAGACATTTGCAAAGCTTTTCATTGTTATGCCGATGTCACTTTTTAATATTGAATTGAAAATTGACATCCTATTGACACTAGCTTTGCGCTGCTGTCTAAATTGACAGGCGTTGATTAGTACATAATTTTAAATGGCAGTAATTCACAGTTTGCATTATATCGCAATTAAAAAAAATAAAAAATGTATCTTTACCAAATTCCGCTGTGTGTTTTCTTTACCAACATTAGTGTCAAGCAGTGTTGATTCTTCCTTAAAGAAAAACAGATTGACAATGTGTTACAGATTTACCAAACGGTAAAGTTATCACAGTTATACTAATCATTCTGATAGCATACATATTATAAGTTCAATAATAATGCAGATTCAATCGTTAGCAAATGTCTTAATGTATCTCCCTAATACCGTAAAATACAAAAACTATATATGTGTTGACTTCGATAAAAGAACAAAAGCAAATACTGTAGTAATATAATTTTAGTGATGTAGTTAAACGTATTATGTCAAATTTTCTGAAACGTATTTTGAAGACTCCGGAAAGGTTTTGTTATATAACATCAGTTGATTTCAAAAGTAAATGGAAATATCAATGCGTACATTGTTGTTGATATTTTCATCGTGCAAATGTTTCTTTTCCAATGTCATACTCCTCATCTTGCCTAAATGATACACAGATATATTCATTTAACCAAGTGGTGAAATAATAAATCAAATACTACTATAGCAAATAATTTAAATAACTATCATCAAAAAGTCTTACATTATATTATAATTATTCAAACTCATTTATTAAGGCAATAAAATAAAGTTTGTGTCAGTTTCAAATTGTTATTTCAAATTGTTATAACTGCTAATTATAAGAATTATTTATAGAGGAACTTAAAAACGTTAGACACAATGTCCTTATCCAATGTGATGATGCAGTTTATGCAATCAAGTCTAACATTACTATTTTGGAATTTAATGATAATCATCATAATATAATCATTTAGATATAATATCTCATCATTTTAATTGCTGACTAACTTACTTTTTCCTGTACAGAGTCCAGCAGCTGTGCATACTGTCTCAGGATCGAACCCGTTTTCTACAGCTGTCATAATTGTTGGGATTATTTGCATGCACTGAAGTAAAATCAAGTTCTACTAAGAATAGTATAGGTTAAGAGTAAAATGTTTTGACTACGTTATCATGTTGTTCTATGTGTTTGCCAGTGGCATGATTCCCATGCATTTAACAAAATAAAAATAAAACGAAAGACAAAAATACTTGGCTTATTTTCTCATTTTCAAACTATTTAGGAAGGTTCAATCATTGCAACCATTTGTTCTATCTATTGCAGCTTGGCTATAAAATATACTTTAAAATTTGACAATGTAATACAATGCTATGAAAAAAATATATCTCTAAATAATACTATAGCATTCAAATGTTGCACAGGAAAATTGTTCCATTTAATCAAATTGGTGACACGGAAATTTTTGTTTGTGTGACAGTTCATAGTGGTACAAGTTTTGTGAACGTCGCTCTCCCTTATTTACTCTTCCCTTTATATTTTATGACATCAAATGGTATCTCATTTAAGACTTAATGTTAACAGATTGATGGTGAAAATGTAAAACTCATGATGGAAAGCTATGTAGAGATGTTATCTAGCACAAATATGATTGTAAATCAAAATTACATATCATACCAGATCCTGGAAAGCTCCACTAGGTAGACCACTACACAGATTGTACAATGTCTGGTTGATCTTTTCGTCGGTGGCATTTTCTTCAAGAAGATTGTCTAAGATTTCTATAACTCCTTCACATAAGTCGCATGCTATACCACCCTGTATTAGAATTAATGAACACAATATCAGATTCTTAGAGACTAGAAGAAATGTGTCCGTTTTCCATCTTGGTGATATTTTAACATATATTTTGATTTATTTTTCATTCTTTTTTAAAGTTGTTACAGAAAATATAATTCCATCTGTGGCTCAGGGGTTGTCGTTAACGTGTTAAGGCACCAGAACTGCAGCCACCGGTTAACTCGTGATTGTAAGAGGCGACTAAATGGGTTTGAATTACTTGAGTCTATGCATCTCTTAGCTCAAGCAGGTAAGGTGGTTTGACCTCTGGTGTTGCTTAAAGTTTGTAACACCCGAGTTTAGCAAAAATCATTTTCCTACTTCGACGCCATATGACCTTAATTGTGCTAGTGCGCCGTAAAACCAAAAAAACAAACAACAAATATCTAAAAAATAAGTACCACACTTTGTTGTGCCATCCGTCTTGCAACTATGGTGTCAAGCAGGATTGATTCTTCCTAAAAAATATAAGATGATTTCTTTATGTAATATTTCATTAATGTTTTTAAAATTAAAAAATAAACTTAATCATTTAATAATCAATTTGCTCAGAATACCACAAACTGTAAAACAGTGACAATATTATCTGTTTAAGTCTGAAAGGTAATGATATTGGAATGCTCAGCAGCTGAAGAAAGTTCATGACATACCATGCAATGTCTCTACCATCGAAACTTGAAATCACAATGTGATTTGATCAAATTACGTGATTTCTATATAGTTTATATGTACAATACTGTAATGTTTACTAAAATGCTGGAAAATCTATGCCGGAAAAGTTACTTTTCCATTTCCAGCCATAAATATGAACTTTTTCTGACCAACTTAGAAGGAAATGCATGTGTGCTGGTGTTATCAGGATTCGTAAAGTTTATTTATTTTGTTTTTAACTCACATAACATTATTATAGCAATAAATACAAAATCATAGCATACATTTTCATTTACACTCTTTTCTGGCATATGTTTCTTTCTCAACGGTAGCCTACTTCCCACCTTGCCTATATGATATATATATAATAAAATAAATAAAATTATAATGTAAGAAGTACCATAACAAATACAAAGACATTTATTCATTTATATTAGCGTACAGGCACATTATGCATCAGAAACCAATATTTGTTCCTTCTTTAGAATGGGCTGAAATTATTTGTTATAAAAGTAGCAAAATGTAAACACAGCAGTATTTTGACTTTCATAGAAAATCACTATCAGAGCACAAAATGCCAAAAGACAATAGAAGCAAACGACGGTTGAGATAATTAGCCAATGAGTAGCCTTTAGGAATTACCAGTATTATATATAACAGGTGACAAACATTTTCTTTTTTTAAATGCTTACGTCAAATGAATATACAATCATTTCTGAGAAATAATGGACCTTTAGAAGTGCATACTAATGATGAAGTAATAAGATGAACTCAACGTTTATAAAAATAGGTTAAGTACTATATGCTATTCGACAACCTTTTATCATTGCCGTTGATGCTACGCCTTCTGTTATAACCTAACATTCACATTACCTATGCCTATAAACAAAATATTTAAAATTTACTGTTAATGGTTCTGACGAAAAGTTTCTAATTGTGAATTGTTAAAAGACTTACTTCTTCCCGTACAAAGTCCAACATCTGTACATATTGTTTGAGGATCGAAACCGTTATCTACAGCCGTCATAATTGTTGGGACTATTTGCATACACTGAAAACAAACAATTTTAGTTATAAGTTAAGACAATAGATATCTACTTATAAGGTGTTTAAGGTATCCAACTTGCAGTTACATGTACATTCTGTTTGTATCATAGTGAAGGTAACAATGCATATGTAAATTTAGTATGTTTAACTTTTTTATATACTATTATCAATTAATACAGAAACTCTGAACAATTTACTATAATAGTAATCTTTAGTTCCTGTATTGCTTTCTGGTATGTTATAATTTGAACAAAACTGTATGCAACATAACGGTATAAAGTTTAACGATAGTAATCATTTTTAGGAAAAACATATCGATGAACTGTTGCTTGTTTTTTGTTGGTAGTTTTCACTCAGGATCCCAGTGAATTTCCCAGAGCACAGTTCAGCCACCGCATCGTTCCTTGGCAGGCTGTCAGACAGGTTACCAGTTCTAGCTCCTTTCACTTTCGCAAAGGACCTGATAAATTTCTGTACAAGCCAGAGCAGAGGTTCAGTGTGAATGACAGTAGAAAGTATTCAAAATCAATCACAAAGGGAAGTGACTTGCACCGTCCAGGAATCGAACCCGGATCGGCTGATTCACAATCAAACGCTCTAAATATTTAACTTACCGGACGGTGTATTGTTGCTTAACAAAATCAAACCATTTAACCAGATTGGAATAACGAACATATTGTCTTTGTCCTCAAATGATATCTGATTAAACAAATTTCAACATTCAATCCGGAACATTATTCATAGTTTGTCTAAAAGATAAACTTAAGCACATTTCAAATGTGCATTAAATTTTAACACCATACCAGGTCCTGGAAAGCTCCACTAGGTAGACCACTACACAGATTATACAATGTCTGGTTGATCTTTTCATCGGTGGCATTGTCTTCTAGAAGATTGTCTAAGATTTCTATAACTCCTTCACATAAGTCGCATGCCACGTCACCCTGTATTAGAATTAAAGAACAAAATGGTTTGCGTTATCTATCTACGTTCCATATATGCGTCCAATTTACAATCCAACCGCTAAGCTCAATTTTGAAGGCTTCGGATGTGCGCTAAGCTCAATTTTGAGGGCTTCGGATGTGTAATCCAGGGGTTGCTGGTTCGATCCTTCTTCGAACTTCTTCGTGACAATTGTTATCGGATATTCAGACATAGGGTCATTTTTCTCTCACAATCATATGGGATTAGTAGTTACTTGCAGAGAAATTGGAAACAACAGGTTAGTTATCGATAAAAGCCGGTTCGGATGACTGACGGTTGAGATATGACAAAAAATGATTTCAAATGGCCCTAAAACTGATGATTTTGGGTATTTTGTGTTGCTTCTTCGTTCATATGTTAATTTGTTTTTTTTTTTTGTTGATATATACTCCACTTTTTAATAAATGCTTTAATCAAAATGTTAAAAAAAGGTTCAAAAATACGTTTAGTTTATTTTTTCTCAAATCTTTACATGATTTAAGACTTTTTGACTTATTATATCTAAACTCTTTTTTTAATATACGTAGATATTATCTTCTACAAATATAGTTATGCAGAATAACATTATTGCTTTTTAGCCTTCCATGATTTATCCTTCATATCTGTTTTGTTCATTACCTACGCAAGTTGGAAATATAATTAGGTAGTAAAAATAAAACTGCCATAATAAATAATAAAGATTGCAGAAAATTGTGTGTAAATTTCTAATATAATAATCTCTTTTATCGTTCGTATATCTTACAGTACAATGCAATGGTTGAATGTCAACCGAATAACATTTAATATACAAGGCATTTTAGATTTACGTATTTCATTAATCTGGGTGTATAAAGTGTATAGCCTACTTTACATTTAAAAGTACATACTTGTCTATAAACTATGTTGTCTCTAAAAATTGAAATGTTAAGACTTAGAAATTATGATAGCAAAGATAAAACATCTGTAAACTTCTGCTTTGAATATATATATGAGCCTGCAGAATTTTCAATTTTGTCATTTCAGGCGTTCCTAAGGGGTTCCGTTTTTCTCTTTTCCACAATATTTTGAGAAAAAAAAACAGTTAACATAAAAAAATTGTTACAAAGTGTACAATGTGGTATGTATGTTAAATGACTTACAACATTATGCCTCTCTTTCTCTCTGATAGCTTTCATCAGGATAGACTCCTACAAATCGAAGAATAACCGTTTGATTAAACCCATTACACAAATATTAACATAACACGCTTTTGCAATTACGTGTATAAGCAGCTAAACTGCAAATATACATGTATATTCAAAATCTTTAAAAAAACCCGACACTACTCGATTGTTAAAGGAACACATTCAAAATAAACTGAATTCATCACGAGAAAGAGGAAATGCTTTTACCCTCATTAGCATGTTTTATAGTTGTATATTATTTCCCTTTAACGTACAATTGAAAGATGTTTAAATGGAGTTAATATTAAATGAAAACCGAATCAGTTCAAAATAAGTATCGCACAATTCATATCTATGACTAAGGTCGTATTACTTACTGATACATATGTATATATTCCTCATAAATGCATGTGTAAACATGTACGTTCCCAATCAGTAACTTTGTTCTCGTTTAATAAAATGTGTAAGTTACAGTTGTATATTATGTTTTAAAATAATATTTTTATTATAGTTTACCTCTTCTTCGTGTACTGCTCTTTTCTGGATTTTCACTGTAATTTATAGAATGTACAATATATCTGGTGTTTTATTAAAAGCATAATTATGCTGACATGTACATGTTTAAAGTTTAGACCGTACTCTAATTTTTATTTAAAAAGTAACGCCCAAATTTACAAACATTTCCATTTTAGAACCTGTTTGCCATTACATATTAGTGTTACCATTGAAAGAAAATATTTATTGATTAAATTTGTAAATTCAGTAAAATGGCAAGATGGTTACTGAGTTACCCATAATAATTATTGTTGAACAGATCTATGAAAAATATTTAATATGCCCATTAATTTGGAATCACTGGTTATATACGCATATTCATATATATTCTATTTTCTAAATATATTTCGAAGAAACATTTTGATTAAAACAGTAGCTCAACACGTCACGTATATATAGAAATACATGTATATGTATATTTGTTAACAACGATTGTATAATCTTACATAATTATACAAAATAAAATGCTAATTTTACCTTCATGTTCATGTTCAGTACAGAATTTTGCTGATACACAAGTCTTTTCTGGGTCCAGACCTTTCTTGAGAATAACAGTTAGTTCAGGAGCCTTTTGTAGACACTGTTAAAATTGTCATACAAGACCAAATTATTAGCATAATTATAAAAATAAAACGACCATAAGAGAGCAATAAAAAACTGAAGTAAGCATTATAAATGATTAAGTAAATATTCATATTTTACTAAAATTCTGAAAGTGGCATTAAATATTCAAGCTTGATAGTATGTTAATCAATAAGAAACACATATAAAATAATGAGCATGAAAGATTATGGTTGCATGTCAAGCTGTGTTTCACCAGTTTTGCATATGATTGAAAAGTCACAGGAATATTTCTAGTAGAAAGGTGGATAGGAATTTCCCATTTATCTTAAATTCTATTAATACTAGTTGTCTTTCCTGTTTTAATCATATACATTCTTCAAATATCAACAGAAATTATTGAATTGTAATACATTTGTAATATATGATAAAATCACAAATTTGAAGTTCCCCCGTCATTTTCAAAGGTTTTAATTTAGCTAGCTACTGTCAAGGGCTGAGCTCCGTGAGCTTTCCCCCCTTTTTTGATATTTGCTTGTATTTTTTACGTTGAACTCACTGTATTCACCGACTGAATTGTTAAATTCTATTACAATGCGACTTTAAACTCTTTCTACCGATTCCAAGGACGAAAACTGATGTCACAGATATACAATTATATTAAAACGTTATCTAAACCTACCGCTTGCTGTAGCTGTATTCCGGTAAGACGCGTGCATATTTCATAGACTGTGTTGTTCACCGTCTCAATACTGGCATTTTCCCCAGCCAACCCATCAAGTGAACGGATAAAAACCTTGCAAATTTCACATTCTGCCAGTCCTTTCTGTAAATTAAAATATTTCTATAATTTCTCTTTTAATTTTCACATTCAGTCTAAATAATCTATGAGTTATCGTCTGCTGTTTCGTATATTCGGATGGCGATAAGTTTCATGTGCGGTCGTGCAATCTAGAATTATATTCAATTTTAAGGATGATAATCGATATATTCGAAGAAAGATGGCGTATGGGTAGACTCTCAGTCTTATATTCTGTGGGTTGTAAGTTTGAATCCCTTTCATTTTCTACAAAATCCACATTATACTATTATAGAGCAATTTCTAGGTCCCCAAAGTATGGGTATGACATTACTCAGGAAAACCGAAACAAATTGTCACACAAATGCCATCTATACGTACGGATAATATACATGAGTAATAACATAAAAAAAAACTAGACGTTATACGTGTTAGGGTAAAGAATATTTGTAACAAAATAACGACGAATGAAACATAATATTTTAGAGTATTAAAGAACCTGCTGAGATACTTATCAATCAACAGATATTAGTGATTATACACCCAATTAATATCCTAAATGCATATCAGCAGATACATGTATGTGCATTCATAAAAATGTTCAACTCGATGTATTTCTGTATAAATTAACTTGGCCATTTTTTCATATTATGCATAAAATACATAATACTTATCAATAGAATAGGATATGATTCATGTAATATGTTCACATAGCCTGTACTTTGTACAGCAACTACATGTAGTTTAAGATACAAACTGGCAATAAAGAGATGGTAATGTTCATTACAACTGTAAAAATAAAATAAACAAAATGTCTTTGTAAGATAAGGTAGCTAAAGTCATCTTATATCAGCATAAAGAAATAATATACAAGAGGTTTTGTTTTATTTTGCACATATATCGATTATGTTGAACAGTCGAGACATTTATAGTATCTATAGACTTAAAGAAAATTCTAAAAGAAGCTTTCATGCAGTTGCTAACATACATTTATATTTGGCCATTTATCGTGTTAACCGGTGTTTTATCATGTTTCTTTTTTATAATGTATTTGTTGCTTATCACGTGAAGAAGAATAGTTATATGGGGGGGGGAGGCGATTGACAAACATTTAATAAAACTAAAACATAAATAAAAGATGGTGAACCTATATTTCCAATGAGAAATTTAAGTAACTCTAATGGAACACCAGTTCTTGATTTTTGTCTTGGAAAATAATAGAAATAACTGCGTTTTGTAGTTTTAATAAGCATTTAACAAATTAATATATAGGTAGCACATCACTATTTAACTTACCAAACCAGACTTTGCTGACTTCATAGCATCTTCCGCCTGATAGAGTAGTGAAGATTCCGTGTCAGCTGATCTACGGTGTCTGTTGTGACAAACATTGTTACAAATACCGTTCTTCACCTGGTCCAACATACATGTCAAATTATTATTATTATCAAATGACAATGATTTCTGTACAAAAATATCAATAATGCATACTCAATAAAAGAAAAACTTAAGTGATATAATCATGTATCACTTGACAAAACACTACAATAATTTCTACATCGTAGCATATAGTTATAAGTTATAGGAGTATATATTTTTGTATAATATTGAATTCTTAATTAATTTTATTGACAGAGACTGGTAACTTATTTAAAAGAAATCTTAAGTCAGAAAAACGTCACATGCTCAAATCCTTTTATGATTACAGTCATATGTACCACTAATACATTTTCATGAACATATTTAAGCTATTTTGTTAGTTTTCATAATGTTTTCCTAAAAGTATAATTTAAAAAAAAAGCAATTGGTACATACTCTAAAAGATTCAACCCCGGGGAGAGTTTCGACAATTTGTGCGCAAACTGTGCATTTTAGGTCTTCAATAGATACAAACGCTGATTCTGTTTCTATAAAACAAAACAAAAATGTAGTTTATAAACCGAAATAAGTGATATAAAGTGTAAGATAAACGAATGTTTTATATACAATTTGAAAACATAAAATCAAACCCTAATTCTGTAGTAACAAATCTCAACTAAGCAAAATTATAAAGCTTTAAAATTTGATACAAAAGCACATTTATAAAAATATCAAAACCAGTGTGAAATATGAACAATTATTTAATTCTATCCATGAAATATGGTGCTATATCAGTCAAATATATTTCATATTTTTTAAAAATAAATATGAAATAAAAACATGAAAGTGGGCGGAGTTAAAACTCATATTTATTTTAAGGGACTTCTTTCGCCATTTTGTTTGAAAAATCTGATAAATAAAAAACAACGTTTTGTTGAATTTTGCTTTGAAAACTATCTAGAATGATAGAAAATGGTCTAACTAAGAAAATTAATCCGAACACCAATATCTATAATTATCACATAAACCGCGGCGCAGGAGTGTAATAAAGCCATTTAATAAAAACGATATTACACTAGTGTAATAACACTTTGACGTGACGTCATTTGCGCTATATAGAAACATAGCGTTAAAGCGCGCTAATGTTAGCGTTACACTATGGGCGCGTCATTGAAAAATAACTCATTGTAACAGTTTACTGTTCTTATTTTACATATGTGATAAATAGAATATTATATTCGTGTAGATTTAATACTAAATTTATTGAGCTCGTTGAATAAAACAATATTATGCTCGCCTTAGGCTCGCATAATATGATTTTATTCAACTCGTTCAATAAATTTAGTATTAAACTACACTCATTAAATATCCTCTATTTCAGTTATTAACGCTATACAGACGTTTAAACAGTTGTTTACGTGACCTCACAATGTAGCGCCAAATATCGCGTGCAAAACAAGACGCAATATAAATTACTGCGCGCTGTACAATTGCAGTTGCGTAGCAAGCAATAGGGTTTGTAACCATTTTTCTTTGATAATGAAATTAAATAAAAAGGTTATTTTTTCGTTTTTCGTGAAATATGGTATATATTTTCACTCAACATGATAAAATGCCACATATTTTCATGTTTCGTGAAAATATATTCCATATTTCACTCAAACGAAAAAATATCCTCTTATTATATTATTAAGTATCAGTTCAAATGTGTGTAAGTTACATAGTTAATACTTAAACGTTAATTTAAACTTACTCTGACAAAAGTTCGAAGCAATACATGTATTTGTAGGGTCCAATCCATCAGCAAGAGCTTTTTCAAGGCTTGGTATAAACAAAGGACACTTTGTAAAGAAAAAATAAATTTAAATATAAATATATTGAGCATTACAAATATAAATAAAAACAAACGCGAGACGATTCAAGTATCAGTTTGTTGTGTTCTACAGAGATAATGGATGTTGAAATATGCCCCACGCCTTATGGAACGAGGATTTCTTAAACATTGTGCAACAACCAGTGCAAAAAGAATCTACATATACTAAATGCTGTTACAATAACACCATTTAGGTATAAGCACGATCCAAACAGAGGGTAAAGGTGAAGATAATTTGTCCTCAGTAATATTTCAAGCACAAGTACACACACAGGTGATAGCTATTTTCCTCGTACGAACAAACATGGCCCTGTGTGCGCACTTTTTATTTGGTACCAACGTGGTCATGTTTTCTTATGGATTTAAAGCTCTTTGATAATCAAATTTCATCTTTATAAATGTTATAGTTTATGGCATATGGCAAACATTAGAAAGCGATCTGTATCAATTTTGTAAACCTGTATATTTGCACGTGCTATGATAAAACGTTGTGTGTGGCTCAAGCTAGTTCAGTAAGTTCAAATACGAATATATATAACAAATGTACTTAGATAGTTACAGACAAGAAAAATATAAGATCTATAGTAAGGCTTAGCAATATCTCTCTCACCAAACTTTTTATATTGTCCGGTAGGTATGAGCATATTTCAAACAGAGTATTGTTGACTTGTGCAATTGATGCATTCGTTCCTACTGCTTCGTTCAGTAACTGAATTATGTATTTACAAATCTCGCACTTGGCATCCTCCTGAAGAAAAACAAAAACAACAACTAATATTATACCGAGTTAATCCATTCTTCGTCAAAATTAATGCTGATATCAACAAATTCAATATGGCAAAGCTTTTTTGTTTTGGTGTTGCGTAAGTTTCTAAAATTATTCTAAAATGATACTTATTTGTCATTTTCTCAACAATCTTTTATTTGCTTCTGTTGCCTTTTGGCAAATTGTACAGTTGCAGTACTGTAGTAGTTTGTATGGAAATTTTGAAATTAAAATACTACTCTATAAAGCTTTACTTTCGTCAGGAGAAAAGCCTATAACATGCTCTTTCTTCCTTTTTTTTTACGTTGCACCGACATATTATAGACCATATGGCTACTTTTGAGGAAGACCTTAGGTGCCCTTCCTTTCTTTATTTCAGACACGATTGGGCACCTGATTAGAACCACAGACGTTCTAACATGCTCTACATATATTCTCTAAATGTAATAAAATATGTGTTAGTCCTATCTAAAGAAGGCAAATGATATTCTTTAAACATACAACCAGTTAACTAAACAAACAGTCACAATACAATACATTTGACATAAAAGTTATCTGCTTAATTGGCTGGTGAAATTAGGTTGTGTTCTCTTTCTTTATTATGTATATTTCTATATATATATACTTTTTCACCAATATAATGGTACGTGTCCGATCGTGTTGTCCTATTTTCCTTATATTGAGCTGAGTGAGTATTTAACAAAAAATTAATCATCAAGTAGTAAAGAATAACTTCAAAAAGAAAGATTCAAGCAGGTAAGGAGTAAAAAAATACCTTCAAATTTTCCGATTCCTCTTCATCCAGGGTATAATCAATTTTTGGAATTAACTTGAGATTTTCGTGCATTTCAGTCTGAGTTTCTTCATAACCACATACATCTTTAAACTGATAGCAGATTCCTATACCGATCTATAAATAGACAAAAGAAGAAAAGATGTCTGTCAACAAGGAAACACAAATGTTTTTGTATAATCATCGCTATCATAGGTCAGTTCAATGTATAATAATCTAAACGTTGATATTGATGACGACAACAACGATAATGACCACAAAGAAAATGGTGGAGATGACAGTGAAAGTGACATAGGCGACGAAGATTGCATTGATACCATGACAACGTAATAAATTGGTGATTCAGTATTTCTGATACGCAGCTGTTGACATTGACATCAAAGCCATTGTTTTCTGAATAAAGATGAACTAAGCTATTCTTTTAAAGACATTAGTGACGTAGAAACAAGTTCAAATGATTACGAAACTAGTAATCAGCAAAGTGGTGCCAAAGTATCAAATATGACCAATTATTGCTTTAAGAGTATTCTAAAATACATAATTTCTTTGACAAATCAAATGGCAAATCTCATCAAATACATGTTACTGATATTTCAATTAGATCAAATATAATGTTACTTCCACTGTATGTGAGCTCATGAACCAATTCTAAATGCCTAACAAGGTTTTAATACACCAGTTTTTGATCATTGTTAAAAACAGTTTGATCAAATATTGAGACTTGCTCTTTTTGTAAATGATATAGCAATACAAAACTAATAATTATCTAACATGACCATCTTTATGGAAATGACTTTAAGGTTACTTGTGTCTCTCTTAATTTACCTCTCCTGCCATGGACTCCAATGTTTCCTTGCAGACGTCGCATGGGATGTATTGTGAACTGATTGGAACTTTTCCACCTTTGAAATTTAAAAAAAAAATTAATTAGAACAGTTTTACATTCTGTTGTCTTTTGTATTATTTTACTATATATACCATTCATTCCGAATAGCTTTTTTTATTCCTCATAAAGCAACAAGTTATTTCCATGTCATGCTCTGTGAAAATAATTTTATTTTTATTTATTGTACTACATAGAATATAGGAACGGAATTCCTAAAGAACGCCCCAAACGACGATATTGAACATGCTGCAGGCTCGGTTTGATTAAGCCTGTTCATGGACGGTACTGTAAAATGCAAGTTACACCCACTTCTTTTAGCGCTGGCTCATTTAAACATGAAAATGGTGAAATGTTGAATTTAGAAACCTCTGCAGGTAAAGTGATATACATTTTTGTATTATGTTAGTTTATGACAGTGGCTAACTACTGAGATCATCTTCAATTGCACGTCAAAATATACAGTAACTGTTAGTAACGGGATAGATCTGAATATAAAGATAAAATGCAGTAGATTGACTCAAACGGTGCATCACCAATTACCACAAGGAGCGCAATACCAGATAGGAGACATTTTTAAAATATTCTCTCAGAATTTTACAATTATAGTGTTTTTAAATTGTGTACGGCGTAACGATTTAACTTATATGGATACTTATTATGTAAATAAAGCTGATTGAAATTGTCACTAAATGAACAGAGAAAACAAAATTAAGAACAGCTTCTTACCATCATTACAGAGTTTCAGAAAATCACAAGCTTTGGTTGGATCTATTCCACCAAGTATTGCTTTAAGAATATCTGGCTCAACGTTTAAACACTGAAATTATAGGACGGTCAATCTAATAATGATTATAATATTAAAATGTATCTGTAAGTTATTTTAGATAATGTTCATCCTTGGACTTGAAATGGTTAAATAAATCATTGAAAAAAGGTCACAGATAACTCCCAAAACATTAAAACTTATTTCTGGAAGTGATGTTAGTTAAAATTGAAATAAAGACAAATATTTAACATATGTAATAGATAAATTAATAAGTGAGTTATTAAAATACCAACTGCCTTGAAAAATTGGAAAACAGACAAATATTTGTATGTAAATAATTTAGCGCTTCTGTCTAGCCAGGCAAAGGAGGAGAAGCTTATATATAAATTATAATTATATTTAATAACTTATTGCAGGTATTGATCACATAGTGCTTTATATATAAAGTAAATGTAAATAGCCTTGCTGAAAAGCTGTATCAACCATAATAAGTTAATCAATAATAAGTGTAATAATAAATAAGTGAAACATAACAATGCTTGACCGGAGAGTTAATTACAAATACAATTAACATTTTATTTGGCAAATAGTTAGTCATACAACAATGAAAAGCCTCTTTGTAAATTATCGTTTTTTGGTATATAGTTCATTGATTATCCATTTCTTTCCTTTGAAATCTAAAAGAAGTCTATTATAGTAACATTTATAATTATATTTTGGACATTGTGTTACGCTTACTTATTTTGGACATTGTGTTACGCTTACTTATTTAAAGAGAATATTGTAATAAAATGATATCCATATCTTTTTAGTCTTTGGTAAAATCGGGTATATTTGGCTGCAACTTAAAAAGGGTATATTTTGCTGCAACTTAAAATGGGTTTATTTTGTTGCAACTTACCATAAGTATAATTTTTTTTGCAACTTAAAAAAGGGTTTTTAAGTTTGCTGGGAAACTTGAAAAATTTGGGATTTTTTTTGCCGCAACTTAAATGGGAAAATTTTGGTCCCAAAAAAACCAATCTACGTTAAAAGGGGTCTTTCAGTTTTTCCCCAAAGGTTAGACTGTTTTCCAAAAATTTCCTAATTAATGGGTGGCGGCGAAGATCGGTTTTTTTTCCAAACAATTAAAAAATCAAACTCTTTCAAAGGGAAACTTACCCAAAAAATGACATTCCAAAACGTGGGGCCTTTTTAATTTTTAATTTTTTTAAAAAGACTAAAATATTAAATTATAGGTAAAAAATTTACCAAATTTTCATTTTTAAATTTACAATTTTTTTCGCAACAATTATAACTACGTGGATACGTAATTTAAAAGACAAAGTGATTTATAACTATGTCTGACAGTTAGAACAACGCATAACGTAGGACAATTTATCTTTCCAAACTAAGGAAGGCATAAAGAGCGTTTTTTTTTGTTTGCCTTGAAAGAGCTCGAAGAATGATTTTACTTGTACTTTGTTTGATCACTAGACTTCACTACCATAAAAAGTTTATTGAAACGTTGTTTTATCCTCATTAACGTAGTATCAATCATTTCCTTTTGTTTGCAAGTATAACCTGTTTACCTTATTTAAAGTATGTACGCGCACTGACTTGGATTTAGCCTAATTTCTCCAAGCTAAAGGATTCTTAAATGGAAGGAAGAAAGATGCTTTCATAAATAACATAACAAGTTATTTACATGTATACTAATACAAAGATAAATTCTAGACGTTTGACATATCACATACTTTAACTTCCGGTTTAGATTCAGATTCCTGTTTTCGTTGTAATTCAGATTCTTTTAAGCAAGATTTCTGTGAAGCACAAATACTTTCACTGTCCTGCAAAAAAGATATTTTAAATATTATTTGTAATGAACCAAATTCCACGGCATTGAAAAATAACCAAGAAAATTTGTATACATATCTTTTTCGTGTTGCTTTTATCCATTGAAACTATAATTTATGTGCAATAATATATCATTATTAAATGCATGCTTCTAACAAATGAAAATTCGGTGCCATATCTTAAAGCGCAATTACTGATAAGATGAAATTTGGCGTTTGTGAAGTGCTGATTTCTATATCAAATATCAGGCCTAATCTTATACATTTAAAAATAAATGTTTGTTCATTCTGTTTTAGTTGAAATACTATCCATAATCTGTATTTGATCTTAAAATGTTATGATACTTGAGAGTACTAATATACCGAATATAAACTATCAAAATGCATGGTACCCTAATACAGCTTGACCCCTAGACGTTTCATGAGCGAATATACATACGTTCATCATTGGATTTATTTAAGTGACACTAAGCTTCTTCATGTATCCACTAGAAATATACATAAATATCATCTGGATTTAAGGTCGACTTTTTGATTTTTAACATTTTTATCATCATAACATACACTAAGAAAGTGGTCATCTGATTCTCAACATAATATTGATCTTAAGGAAATAAACCTTTTTTAAACAATTTCAAAGACACATGTTCGAAGTTGGGTGTTCAAATATTGAAACCCAACAATATGCGACATACTTCAATTTTCCAGAAATTGTGGCCCTTAACAAAACAGTGTCAAATAATTTATTTCAATCCTTCAAAATACTCACCACCATGTGATATACAAAGTTTTATTATTTTAATCCAACTTTAAAATGCGTTTTTATAAAAAAAATTGTGGTAAACAGTTAAGACACTGACAAAAAGCCAACCGAGGTTGTTTCGCGTTTGATATTTTTCTTCCGACAAGGTGTTTTTTGAGACTCGGAAATAGGAAAAGTCTCAAGGGGCAAAATATTTTGAATGAATTTGGGGGATATCGACAACTATTTAGTCTTTCAAATATTATCGTTCGGTCGTCAGTTGCTGGTCGACGGTTTTTGAAATATTTCTTTGATTTATGAAGTACCTTGCCTTTGCAAAACTTGGCATTTACATATTTACCCTTTGGTACGGCAATTTGAATAGCAGGACCTTATTTGGTAAAGTAAATTACATACATGACATTTTTGACGCTCATGGTGCGTTTTCCTATGTAATGTATTAGACTTCTTTTGGTTGCCGATATCTTGTTATGTATCTTTCGCTTTGGCTCATAAAAGTGAACCCACAACTCATTGCCAGTGATGATGTTTGCGAAAGAACGATTGTTGTATTCATGGAACTGTTTGGAGATTCTTACCCAAGCAAGTTTTTTACTCTTTTGTAAGGAGATGGGGTATCCATCTGGTACTTATCCTTCTCATTTTTAAATCGAATTGTATGAGCGGCTTCAGATACCAACACATTTAACTATATACCTAGTTGTGAATCTTGCATCTGTAGCAATCAAATCCTTTACTTTTCAACCACATTTGGCGAAGTTTTCGGACGACGTGCAAGAGGTGCATCTTTTACCGAATCCACACCATTTTTAAATTTCTTTCACCATCGTGTGACATATGGGAAAAAAAAGTTCATTGTTCCCATAAACACGAAATATTTCAATAAATATGTATTTCGCATGTATACCAAGAATGCAGCGGTTTTTGATATAGGACCGTATTTGGTCATTTTTCCAACCATTTAAGCTTTAGTATATGCTAGTGGATAGCGTTAATCGAGCTATTGTCAAAGCTAGACTGAACTGATTTACACATTTATTGTATCAATCAAGCGCTTACACAACCAACTATGTGATACATGTACATAGTTTGTGCAAAACGTGGCTAAAAGCGAGATATTGGCCTAGTTGCATTCATATTTGAACACCCCTCGTATATACACGTGAACATATGTAATATAACTGATACTGCTTCAACTATTCATAGTTATTGACTGTATAGTGACTGCTCTTTTTTTGTTTGTTAACATATATTTATTGATTTTTGTTTTTGTTTTCCTGTGTTCTGAAAGACTTAATTTACACTATGTGTCAAAGAGTAGTCATTCTGCTTTATAAAATATTTAAAGTTATTTCTTTAAAATAAGATAGTCGAAAGGGTTTTTTATTCATTGTAAAATTGCTCCAATTGATTTCCAATCAAATTCAAACATATTGACAAATTTTATCATCACCTGTCATCGTATTACTATTTCGCAAATAAGTCAACGCCCCTGTTCGAATTGCGTGTGTACATATTTGACATTAGGTCAGGTGTTGTGAACCTTTGTCCGATGACTTTCGCAAGTGCTGCGTACATGTTTTAATTTCACTTTTGATATGAATATCAATGGTTTATTCTGCATCATAAGAGCAAAGTTATGCCTGTTATCAGAAGGCATTGTGATTTTATCTTAAATCAAATCATCTTTGATACAATGTTCACCCAGTTTTAACTTTGATCCAGATAAGAGACACAATCAAAGGCCAAGTTCAGGGTTTTCACGCTTCTCATTTAAAATGAAAAAAAAAATACGTACGTGAACACAGCGTCGCAAACTTGCAAACAACTCCAGGTTCAAATCCATTTGTAAGTCCCTTTAGAATGAGGGGTTCAATCTTAATACACTAAAAAAACAGCAAGAAAGTATATACGTATTAATATATGGATATTGACGTCAATCACTGATATAACATATTTAGACATTAAATATTTCTGCATCTATTGAAACATTATATTCAACTTTCTAACTGTCCATTCTTTACAAAAATGGAAAACATAAACATATTATTCCACGCAGACTGTAACCTAGGTTTTTTACGTTATATATCGTTTTTTCTCTTTTCCTTTTTTGGTTGTTGTTGTTGTTCTTTCATATAAAGATCTATAATCTCGCGTTATTTACACATACACTAGAACACAAGACTAAATTTGATTCATTTGCATGAAAAGTGTTTTCATTCATTCGCCGTTATTTTTCTCATAACATAAATATTTAAATTGAATATGCGTTTTATACACGTGTGCGTCTTATACGCTAATATTAACAAAATGTAGGAAAAATAATTGTACAGACCACATCTTTTATTTGATCAGGAAGATCATTACAGAACTTTTCAAGTGTATCATTAATAGCTGCTGATGATCTGTTCTGTTTGATTATTTTGTCAATACCAAGAACTGCCAGTTTACATAGCTCACATTCTAGAGGGTTCTACAATATATATCAACATGTGTTTTATATTAAATGCAAAATATATAATGAAACGTAAGAAAATATTCATATCATTGTCTAAGATTTTTTTGTTTGGTTTGAAACATTATATCACACAGTATTAAATAAAAACATTAATAATAAATAAATAAACAGTTTTTGTATCTGAAATGCACATTTGTGTCGGGAAGAAACAGCGCAAATGTTACTGTGTAAAACTTAATAAAAGGCTAAATGCTCTTAATATATATTATTTGTAATGTATATATGCAAAGTATCCAACATAAAGCGCGTTTCATAATTCAACGTAAATTGTTAACACTTACGCCGGATGGATTTTCTGTTTCTTCCTCTTGCTCAACTTCCGGTTCCGGTTGTTCATTATTTGACGGACAAACGTCTGTCAGACTTTGACAAAACTCGTGTGGTGTCTACAACATTAAGAACTCACTGATAAAAACATAAATGGGCTGCATGGATCAATGGTAAAGTGTTACATTCTCAACACATTCGCTTCTCACATGTCAAGAATATCATTATCAAGATCGTGAGAAGTTATACTAGTACACTCTTAATATGGGAGAAAAACGTACAGATTTCATATCATGTTTATAAAGCGTGTGTCAATATATAAGGAACGTTTTAAACCAATGTTTTATAAACACTGCCAACATAAATGTGAACGCCGTTGATTTTATGCAAAATCTTGCGGAAATCAAGAACAATGTACAGTTGTAGAACGCCTGCTGTGATTCATAAGAATCGCGCAATAATTCTTAGCTTAGTTAAATGAAAGAGAAATTGTTTAAGGCCAATCATGCGAAAGAAAAGCTTCTAAAGTTCTTGGTAAAAAACAAAGACTCAGCACTGACAAGGTCCAAAGCAATAGTTTAATCCGTAAAAAAAGAGCTTTGCCCGAGACTTCAAACGCTCGGTCATACCCCAACCTTAAATTAAAGTTTATTAAAGTTTCAGACTTGTATAAGAAAATTTAATGTTATTAAAACGTCCGCTAAAAGCATGTAACTGTGACAGTTACATTTTTGCAACACATTATACAATGTACTTACCAGATCTTTTATCAGTTTGTTGAAAAGACTTCCTGAATGTTCTTTCAGAAAGCTATTGCAGACGTCTTTTTCTTCTGATGGTAGCTTTGCGCAAGCGTCGTTGACATAGCTTGATATCGAACCCTTTAATAAAACAAATATTGAACAAGAGGGGAACATGATAATAATTTTATACTCCCCCTAAGTATACAAGGTTAAGTATATGTAGAAACGTTCAAAATCATATTTAATGTTAAACAAGCAAATGATCGGTTGAGAAGTGATTAAAATTCGATCAAATTGGATGAAATTGATATCTTATATTATTTGGAATAAAATAACCTGAATGTTTGATTTTTATACGACGAAAAATCAGACGCATTTTAATTTGAAAAAAAAAATTATAATACGCAATACTGACTTTGTTTATCTGTTTTTGTAGATCGACATCATTCTTTATTTCACGTATTCATGAAAGATATTTTATCTAAGTTTTAACCTATATCAACTAATCCTAGGTTTATTTTAGTGAAGATTTGAGTAAAATAATCTTGCCTATCAACGCTAGAGACAGTCATATACTTGTACCCCTGACCTTTACTGATAGCCTGTTAGATATATGCATTTGTGAATGATGAGTAAAAAACTAATTGCTTGCCGACATCAAAGAAATATTCAAGTAAATATCAAGCTATACTCTTTTTAACTTATCAGTAAAAGTTAATTTATTTTGGGGGAAATCGAGTAAATTTAAAAGAAAATAATTTTAAGGTTATTTTACACAAACGCAGTAAGAAAGTTATAAATCTGTAAGTTATTAATCCGGTTACTCGAAAAGTGCATGCGGTTGGTTTTGCTTTAATGTTTTTTTCTGAAATATTGAATCTTTAAGCATATATGGTGGATCAGTAGGTGATAAAGATTTTAAGTTGACCAGTTCTATCACAAACTTAGAGTAACCTGTTTCAAGCAGGCAATATTTGTTGATTTTATAAAGTTCCAAAATGCATTAATTCCAAAAGATTAATACAAAACTACTGTAAATAATCATGAAATCAGGAAATTTAAGGAAGAAATGTTGTGGCTATCTATAAATAGCATTGTTCGACGAACCTGTGTTTGTTGTGTTGTTAGAAGGTCTTGGACCTCCCCGACTAGTAAATGGCACACTTCACATGGCCCGACTTCAGAAACTGCTGGGGCTCCTGTTTCATACAAAAGTGTAGATCTACATTTATCATATACTTATACAACTTATGCAAGGCAATAATATATTTATTCTTATCATTAGCGTTTTCAATGTCACAAAATTAATGAAAACAGTGTCTTAATATTTACTTGTGGAAACAGAGAGTGTTTTTTTTAATTAGCCATGCTCTATAAACCAGTATTGCTTAATCGATAATTACATATATTTGCCTCATTTGTAAACATGCCAAAAATCTATTCGTGAATAAATACTTCCTGGATATTTTAAAACCATTGTTTAATGTGAAAGAAATAAGCACATTATTCAAATATATGTTAATATTTTGAAGTGGCATTATGTACATTATTTCATTGTCAAGTTGAAATGAATCAGTAATATAATTTTTTAAAAGATTGATTGGTATAATGGTGATTGACCAATGATTGGTTATGCAAAATGTGTATGATACAATTTAAACACTACTAAAGTAAAAAAAAACAAAACAAACAACTTCTCCACTATTTTTAGGAATTTAGCGATATTTATAGCAATTTTCATTGGTGACATTGAATTATTGATTTTTTTATAGTTATACATAAAGTAAATTGAACTACATTACGGCTAAAAATCTATTATATATATATAAGTGTCCACTGACTTTGTATACTTGGATGGACATAATGTCACTTTATTTCATTTTTTTTATTATATAAATAAGAATGGACTCGTTCAAACTTATTCAAATATGATATGAATGTCAATATACAAAAATGCATACCGATAGTTATTCCAACAAGCAATATTAAAATTAAAATCCGCATTTTTAAACACAGTGAAGTAGAATCACTTGATTAAAATGACTGTGAGGTAAATGTAGATATATTTATATCTATATCTTATATACATGATAACAATTGTTATCATATGATTGCAACGTGACTGGAAATTGATAAATAAGTTTAAAAGCTAATACTTAATTTGATTTGATTTTGAACATTTTTCTTTTAATCTTTAACCTGTTATTTCGAGTTAACATTTTGAATGATTTATTTGACAGTCCCTAAATTCTTTTCTTTTTCATTCAATTTTATTCTTTTTTACTCTATTCAATTTTGTTCTGTTTTGATTTCTTCTGTTCTGTTCTGTTCTGCGCATCTATGTTCAGTCTGTTCTGTTCTTTTCTGTTCCATGCTACTAAAAACTAGATCCATGGAACCACATGTCGCATGAAAAAGGTAAATCAATCGATCATGAAGTTCTTGTTAACTGAGAATGGTTATTGTCTTAGGCAATACCCGCCATATTTGATACAGATGTTGGGAGCAGCTTTGCAATCAATTAATATTTATCTAAAACTCATGATAACGGTTGAAATAAAAGGTACGCAATTTTATCACATGACGTCACTTGTTTTTCAATGTAATGAACCATTTCGCATTGTTTTTTAAATTTTACTACGCACGTTATATTCAAAATGATTGTGTTGTTTTGGGCGGTTTCTGGCAATATAATTCCTAAGTCCTAAGATTCTTATATCAGTTATTACATTTGATACTGCATTAAACACGACTTAGAAATCCTAGACTAGTTAAATTCATCACAGAAAATATATCTATAGAAAATTCAGGTAGCTTCCAATTTCTAAAATCAAACTAGGAATACCTAAAGGAGCCATAATATAGGTACGGGCAACTAAATGAATATGATTTTATAGTGTTTAAACTTTTTTTTCAATTTCAGAAGGCATGAGTAAAACTGAAATAAATTGAAATCATGTCATTTTAAGGTCTTTTTTGATAAACGTTTAAAAATAAAAAAGTAAATGTAAAGTCATTTTTACCATAAATGATTTTTTGAGAATCGATTGCTGAAATTACATGTGACTTTTGTAGATTAAAGAACTTTGAAAGATCTCAGTTTAAAAGTATAATATGGTAGATAAAATGTTAATGATTTTTAGAAATATTGAAAAAAAAATGTTTGTGATATAATGAAGTGAACAAAAGCATAAAAAGTAACCATTGTATTATTTAAAAATACAAATAAAACATTCTTGGGTCAGTTTTCGACCACAGTTAAATTATTCATATTTATTTTATTTATATAACAGTTGAACATTTGTTTGCGGCCAATTTCTATTGCTGTAAGGTTAAACTCTTTTTTTTGTTGTTGAATTTATAGGTCTTTGAGCAAACTTGATTATTGGTATTTAGGACAAACTATATTTAATGATATGTATTATTTTTCTATTATCCAGTTTTTTATTCTCACTACATTGGCACACTGTTTAAATGAGTTCCGCGCTATTTGTAATATATTTCAAAATATGGATGTCAAATATACTGTGACAAAGTGGTAATAAGTACAAACCCGGGCTTGTTTTCAAAGTTATAATTGATTCGATGTAATAGTGGCTGGTTAATGGGAATAAACCAAAGTTTTTGCAAGAATTGATTCATAAAGCCAGAAACGGTCTGTGTTTAACCGTATGGAAGTAACGAAATTGATGTCGTTGTATGCACTAAGAAAATTGTATAGAAAATATAACGGTTAAATGTTCTCCTTCATGTGACAGCCACTAATCTTCATGGCATATACTTCAGGATTTGTGTATAAATAGGCAATAAAATGAAATTAAAAATGTCTAAAATATATCTCATGTTCATGTGGATTTTAAGTGTTTGTCTTATTTCTACCATGATCTATATGACAAGCGTTTGTCAGACACAGATTAACTCCATAGAAGAGCGCAATGACATATGGAATAGCCGAAAGTTAGAAAATTGTTCCGTGAAACAGAAGACCGTACACACGACTGATACCCCAGCCTATAACTATACAACATATAGAAATTCTTCAAATGGAAACTTTTCATTAAAACTAGTATGGCCTGAAAAACAAAATCTCGCAATTTGCAAAATCAAACCTAAACTTTTGGCTGGCCGAATTGAAATGTCCTCATCAGTTACAGCAAAAGATGTCATGAATGCAAAGGCTATAGCGAAAGTAAAGTATGGTGGAGTTTATAGACCACCAGATTGTCGCTCGTCACAGAATGTAGCCGTAATAATTCCCTATAGAGATCGTCCGGACCAATTAAAAATTTTAGTTAATCATTTACACAATATGCTACAAAGACAAAGAGTGTTTTACGGAATATATGTTGTAGAAATGGCCTTACCCGTTCAGTTTAACCGCGGTATCCTAGCAAACGTTGGGTTTCTAACAGCCGGAAGTATCGTGAATTACACGTGCTATATCATTCATGATGTAGACCTTGTACCAATAAATGACAACAATTTATACAGATGTAGTGAGTACGGACCAAAACATATGGTCACACAAAATTCTGCATTTGAAAATGGAAAGCTTCCGTACTCTGGATACGTGGGTGGGGTAATAGCATTTACTACTTTGCAATATGCCAAAATAAACGGGTTTTCCAACCTCTATTTCGGATGGGGAGGTGAGGATGACGATATGTTTAAAAGAATCCGTGCTAGAAACATGACTCTTCAACGCCCTCCAGATCATATTGGAGTATTCAGGGCTCTAAAACACACACAAGATTCTTCCAATCCACCCAATCCACATCGGGAAATGTTACTAAACCAAGCGGCATACAGAATTGATATTGACGGAATGTCCTCAATTAATTACAACCGGAAGTCTCTCGAATTTCGAACTCTCTACACGTGGATTCTCGTAGACTGTATCGAAGCCGAGCTTTTAGAAATGTATCCATTCTTAAGAGCTGACTCAAAGTTAATGTCAAAGAAAGTCAAGCAAAAAAGACACCATTTAACAGTTATACAGTCAAAAGATGGCGAAATTAGGGAGAATAGGTTTGTTTATCCAGGTAGAGTTCAAATAAATTAAATAAAATTTAAATAAATTTGGCACTCTTTAAGTTTATTTTTCTTTAGGGCTAATAAATAGGGATTTGCAAGCAAATCAGATGTACTAATAAAATGTGTGTGAAAATACTAAATTAAAATGTTAATGCAAACTTAGTGTTTGAATTATAAGATGGCTACAAAGTTTTTGCATATCTCTTCGCATGAACATAGATACTATTGAAATTTGTGATTTATGAACATTTGATTTGCCACTGATTACAAAAATACCGTTTATTACAGATGTGTGAAGTTGGCGGCCTAGCGGCCTAGCGGCCTGGCGGTGTGAAGTTGGCGGCCTAGCGGCCTAGCGGCCTGGCGGCGTGAAGTTGGCGGCCTAGCGGCCTGGCGGCCCAGCGGCGTGAAGTTGGCGGCCCAGCGGCCTGGCGCCTAGCGGCGTGAAGTTGGCGGCCTAGCGGCCTGGCGGCCTAGCGGCCAAAAATTTTAATGTTGTAAAAATGTTTTTTAACAATAAAACGGCATTTAATGAAGTTTTAAAGATAATTATTGTTATTTAAACGATATATCTAAAGAAAAAATCACTTTCAGAGATTTTTTTAATTTTGTCATTTTTTGTGAAGTTGGCGGCCCAGCGGCCTGGCGGCCTAGCGGCCAAAAATTTTAATGTTGTAAAAATGTTTTTTTAACAATAAAACGGCATTTAATGAAGTTTTAAAGATAATTATTGTTATTCTCTTTCGCTGCCAATTTTCTGAGAAAACGATTGTCCCAGTGCCAAATAAATAACAGACAATTCCAGGAAATATAGTGTATATAGTGTATATACAAAACTAGCCCTAAAATACTTATTTGTTGATAGATTTTGATGAAACTTTCAGGAAATATTGTATTTATGTTACTCTTTATGATGATACATTCCAAATATGTAAATTTTGAGAATGTGACCTTAACCTTGACCTTGCCTGACCTTAAACGACAAAAATTAGGTATAATTTCATTTATTGTCATTTCTCGGTATACCAAACTCTTCAAAACTCTTCAAAAGTTGTCTATATTTACAGTTATCTTCCTTTAACATAAAAAAGATACTAATATAAATATATAGCCTTCTATTACACATTTGCAATCATTAAAAGAACGTCTGTAGTTGAATAGCGAGTCGCCATTTTGTTGCTGCCAATTACAAAACAAGTTTCACTCGAAAAAACTGCTTCAAAATCGATAAAAATGACTTTTTTTACATTGATTTTTCTTCACTTCCGCGTTTAATAACGTAAAACAGTCTATTTGCCGTAAAGTAGTCTAGATGTCGTTAAAATGAGTGTCGCAAAATGAAAGTAAACACACGTGGCAAAACATGTGACATCTAGTCGCCGATAGGCGACATTGGC